TGTCTCTCTGTCTCTCTCTCTCTCTCTCTCTCTCTCTCTCTCTCTCTCTCTCTCTCTCTCTCTCTCTCTCTCTCTGAGACCCATAAGACTCCCCCTTTGTACCTTGAACAAACATAAAATAATCTCACTTCCCACCTCGACATCACAACAAAGATGGGTACATAACAAGATAGTTCACTCAGCCAAAAAAAGTGTCCGCGGAAGTCTTTGGTTCCGATGACGCTGCAGTCTTTGTTTTGAAGCTCTCTTTCGTTTCTCCAGAAGAAGATCAGGAACAGCACAGTTTGTTACTTTCACTTTTATTGCTTTTTCATACAACTCTATTCGCAAAGTCCGCTCTTTTTCAAAGAGGGCGCCACCGAATTTTGATGACACCTTTTTAATTAGCTCAACGAGAGGAGTGAACTATCTTCTTATACACGATATTTGACCACAAAAACAACAGTAAAAGTCCACATGATATGGTAACTTTTAAGGACAAGCAGGCTGAGCCAGATTTTGGGGGGTTTCCAGAACTCTTGACCTACACCAAAAGTGGGCATTGCCCTACCTATAGGAGAAGTTTGGTTTCATGAGTGTGTATATTTGTTTGGTTATAGAGAAAACTCTCTTTGTCTTTTATTAGAAACTGAACAAGAGTCCAAAAACTTTAACTTCGATTTCCTCAAAAAAGCGACCATATATTTTTTAAGAACGTGCTCTGGTGAAAGTTGTCGGCTTGTCATCACAGTCAGTAAGTAATGTCTCCTGTTGTGTACCAAACGCCTCCATTATACTTACGTTATACCCAAGCCTTAGAAGGCCCTGTGTGTGCATGCCGTGCTGTGACGCATTCTAAAATATTCACAATTTGTACTGTATAAAAACAAATAGAATTAAATCTTTTATGACCTGAGACATCTGCTTTGTTTGTTGTTGGGTTGTTGTTGTTTTGTTTGTTTGTTTGTTGTTTTTTTTTGGGGGGTGGAGGGGTGGGAGTTGGTTTGGTTTGACTTTTTTTTTCAATCCAAAATACATGTTGCGCCAGTTTAGATGGTTCACGACATCGATGGATAGTTTACTGTTGTATCTTAGGGTGGGTAAAACCTAACACCTTGCTTTCTCGGAGAAGGGCGAAAAATCTCTGAAAGGACCCCAGTGCATGTGGCACACGTTATTCAAAGATCTCTTGGTGGTCCAAAATCGATAAGAGTAGTGTTCGACCGCCACCTGGGTAAAATCCAAAATGATTTTTTAAAAAGTTTAATGTGTCCAGCAGGCTCACTCATTTGACCTTATGCAATTGAGAGCACTGTAATTAATACACTAATCACCAGAACAAACAGAATAACGAAACTGTATAAGTACATGTACATGTTATTGCTGACATCAATCATTTCTACAAGTACATGCACTTAGTTCATTGTCATGTACATAAGCTAAACAGGGGTGTGGTTTTTAGGAAGTTTGTGAGGCGGATGTTGTGAAGTAAAGTAATCATGAAGTAACATTATAAGTGCAGTACCCACTTTCAGTGTTGCATAACGATTACTGTAATCGTTAGTAGCGGTACCGTAGAGGGTAGAGCTGCGCAACGAGTCGCTTTAGCAAAATACGAATAATATGTTAGTGCACCTTTTCGGCAAATAATATATGAACCGCTTCGGCAAATGGGTTAGGACCACTTCGACAAACGCGTTAGGCCGGTCCAAGAGTGGCTCTGTAGGTCTGACCTGTAGCTCGCCTGGCTCGCACCGTGCAAGTGAATGTATACATTATCGTGTGCTAAAGCAGCGTAGCTGTATCGTCTGTTTTTTGTCAGCAGAGCTGCGCGACGCGTCAGACGTGCTATTCAACAGTGTTGTAAAAATGGCGGACATGTGTTGCCTCGCTTCGTGTTTATTTTTGACTGAAACTCTTCACAGATCATCAAAATCAACAAGAAGTAAGTATTATTAGGTGCTTTACTATTAAATATTGATGCTAGCATCAACACTTGGCCTCAAAATCACCCAGAAATGCATTTTATTATACTTAGAGGGGGGGGGGGGCGCTGCACTTGGCACATGACGTAAAGAAGAGTTGTCCCGTCTTGGTATAATTGGTCTTGGATTACACAGTACCTAAATATAGCAAGGCAGACCCGTCAGTTGCACACCTACACACGTCAACGCACAGTGCGGCTGTGCTGACACGCAGACGGCGTGCGCCAGGCGAGCTACAGGTCAGACTTACAGAGCCACTCTGGGACCGGCCCTAGCCTCACTTCAACAAATGGGTGCATCCACTTCGGCCACCAGAGTCTGAATTCGGACAATGTTTCATGGATAATTATCCGGTTACCCGGATAGATAATCCTGATTTTGCCCACCTCTAGTAGAGGGCAAGGAAAAGAGGAATAAGGACACAGAGAACAAACCGATGTCTACGGCAACACAAGCCACAATCATGAAACGTTTTAAGTCTATTCAACTCTGGAACACAATCCGAGACGTTGCTTAGCTTGTTTATGTTTTATGTTGTTGGTGTTCTTGACTGTTCTCAAGTAGAATACACAACAGCTGAAAACTTGTATGACAAAATTAGCTGCGTAGCAAGGAGAAATTATAGCTTTCCATTCGCTACCCTAGAATTACAAAGATCTGACATATTTTTTGGTCATTTTGAGTTACTAAGACCATAAGGTCGGAAACCAAATGCTCTATCAAATTCAGAGTCGTTATCAAGAAATTCAAAGAATTGCTTTCGACAAAGCTTGACAAGTTGTGAAACTCAACATTTTTAGGGCAAACTTTTCAAAACTAAGAACTGAAGAGATAGGCGTCGATGAGGAGTTCACACCTGGGCGTCATTCCTTTGTAGTAAATCCTTGCGTCTGGAGCAAACGTGTACCTCGCATCGAGATTTAGAGCGGAGATGTGATCCCATGCATGAGCATGGTTGACCTTTGAAGGTTTTTTCTGTTCCGTAAAATCAGAGAGTCCTTCACACTTCAGAGGGGGATAATTTATCTTAGGGATGACTAGTGCAGTAAAATGTATTGTTGCTTTGTTTGGTTTATTTTTTTCACAGCGAAATCTTAGGTGAACCGGAATTATAAATTGTGGGATCTTAGGTGAAGACTACAACAATAGATTTAGATCTAAACCGAGTATAGTTCTATCAAACAAGACTCAAACTCTTATCCACCCACCCTACCCCTCCCCTCATCTGATATGATTTGGTGTTTCTTTAATATAGAAGGTATTCATCATTATTGTTGTTGGGTATCGTTTTCATATTTTAATGGAGCTTCTCGATATCTACATTTAGACAATATTAGCCTTTTTCTAATTAGGAGAAGAGTGGGCTTAAAAACATAAAACAAGTCTGACTGACTGATTGAACTCAGCTAAGGTGTGTTATATGATTAGTAAATATATGAAAACAAAATACATGTAGAAACCTAGACTCTAGATTTTGTCCCGTCAAAATAGAGGTCTGCTGCGCATAGCATCTAATTTACACATACAATGGAAAGCAATATATACTTTAATTAAAATGTTTAATATGTATACAGTGGAGTCCACTTATAACGAGTCCGGAAAAAACGAGAAGTCTGTTATAAAGGCACTATTCTGAAACCCCGTTTATTTTTCCTCTTTACCTTTGTAAACAAAATACTGCTATAGCGCTATCAGACACACTTGCGAGTCGGTTATAGCGGAGTATTGTTGCTGCTGTGTACAGTGCATAGGCCAATTATATATAATGCTAGACCTCGCCAGTTGAGAAACTTGTTGCTGATCTTGCGAAACAAAGAATAGGAGAGCCCATGTGCGTCAACAATGAAGGCCGGAGCAACTGAGTAGGGAAGGTGTGGCATGCACAGACAAGCAGAACGCATCGCGTGATAGGCCAGTTTAGATTATCAAGGCCT